TGCTGGCAAGGCAAAAATTAACGCAATAATTACTTTCGAATGTAGGCATGGGAGTTTCAGCATCCAAAGTTTCAGCACAATCGGCCAGACCTCTTGGAGAAGATCAAGCGAAAGATACCACCAAAGTCCAAGTCAATTGGCGGCATGTCCAACGGAAGGCACAACGACGGTGAGCTGCGCGTCATTGCGGAGGACTTGCAGAGCCAGATACACTTGTTGACCCACGCGCACGCAGAAGTGACAATGTACATGCACCAGCTGGGCAAGCAGCAGCAGGTAATGGTCGACGAACTCAACGTCCTCAAGAAGAACATGCAAACGCAGGACCAGCTGATGGAAGAGTTTGTCCGGTACTTGGTCAACCAGGACGCGGCAAACAGCAGTAGCCGTAGTAGCGAGCTTGGGACTGCAGCGACAGTGGCAGCCGCCGCTGCAGCGGCTGCTTCGGGACTGGGCGGACTGGGCACGCTCGGACATATGCACGCGATGGGCACGGTTCCGGGCGTCGGCAGTGTCAGCGATGTGCATTCTATTGTTGGAAATGGCGGCACTGGTAGCACCAACAGCCTCTCCAGCGAGTGTGTCAGCGACGACACAAGCGGCAGCGGTGGGACGCACGTCGACGTCCACCATTCGCAGCTTTTGCAAGCTCACCAGCAACAGCCAGCGCCCCAGCTTTGCGAGCTGCCGCACTAGTCTTTCTCCGTATACAATGCCTTTTTGCGACGTTTCTTCCCTTGTTTTGTGACTCTGTTTTTTTATACATGTCTTTTGCCCAGTTGCTCAGTTGGCATTGGCAGGGTAGGGTGCAATTACCGGATGTTTGCCCACGTTTTCGTGGCGTGGCGGGCGCTCGCAAGGGATGATTGCATTAGGAAATGGGGCTGTGTGTGGGAACCGTGAGCACTCAAGGAGTATGCGGCTGGTTTTGTTTTGTTTGCTTGTTCTCCCGGCAGCCTCTCACTATTTCTCTTGCCGCTTTTGGCGAAATGGCAGCAGTGTCGGGAGACCCGAGCGCAGTTATTGTGCTGTCTCTGGAAGGCCTAGCAGTGAAAAAGGCAGTAAATGAAGTTTTCTTTTTCTTTTTCTTTTGAGGGTCGGGCAGTTAAAAGCAAGTGGTCGGGCATTTGCGCTGCACAAGGTCCACTTTTTCCCTTTCCTTTTCCCCTTTGAATTATCAAGCTATTCATTTGATTCCGTGTAGCTTTATTTGTTCCGACTCGCTCACTGCACACGCGAGCTCTTAAGCGAGCACACACGCACACGCCGTCTCTTTTTTTCCCTTGTAAAAGTCGCCCGACACTACATTCCGCATTTGTTGATTGTGCTTTGGTATGTACGCAGCATAGAGTTGTGCACTCTACTGGACAATTGCTCTGTCGACAACAAGAAGGCATTCTCGACTGCATCTTTGATGTTTACAAGCAAGGACAGCGTCTGTTGATAGCCAACTAGTTGCTGTAGTCCCTGGCGCCATTCGAATTTCCATAAACAATGTTGTGTATATCTCTTGTGCTCTGCAGTGGCGGCCGTGGGTTTCCCAATCGCATTATCTGTCTATCTGTCGCGCTCCCGATTTCTACAAGCCATCCATTCCATGGCGCGCATACACCCCCGGGCATCCCTCCCTCTTTTTCCCCCACCTCAGAGGTGCGTTCACGCAGTATATCTGTGTTTTACCAGCAACCCGCGGCGCCGAATACTCTTTTCACTTACTCATCCTCACACGACAACATTTGTTTTGTTTTTTTACTTTTTGCTAGAGCCAAAAATGGGCATATCTGCGATATTCAAACGGCCCAAGGCCATGTCGTCGTCGTCTCGGGCGTCAAGCGATGACTCGATCAAGAATGAACACCGGCCACGCCATATCAAGCGCCGCCCAACCGTCCTGCACACATCATCCACCTCGGACATGGATGAGCCACCAACGCCCAATGACAGCTTGAAGGAAAGCCGGAAGTCCCCGCGCACTCGTAGTTCGGCTGCCAAGGACATTGCTGCGCTCGGCGCTCTCCCAGCCCGCCTTCCGACAGACAGCGACCTGTTTGGCCTGTACCGTTTAGCGACCCCGCCATTGGACTCTGCAACCCCTCAGCTCAGGGAAATTGACCCGTTTGGTAAGTAACAAGTCGATTCCTCTGCTTGCCGCCACACTTGTTGCCACCAAGCCATCTCTTGCACCAACATTGTTTGCCAGTGTGTGTTTTTTGTTATGTAACTATGTGTCAGCTAATTCATTGTGCTCCCTAAAACTCATTATGTAGAAGACAGCCCTCCGCCACGCCCGCTTACCAGCTTTGAAGACCCAGTCTACATTCCTCCGCTCACTCTTGCTGCCACACTTGTGGACGACTATAGCCCGTTTGGTGGGGTGGCGCAAGTCGGCAGTAACGGCGCCACTAATGCAGCCACCTTGGCTACTGCAAGCACATTTTCCCGATCGCCTACTGCTGCTGGTAACTCGCTGGATCTCTTGAGCGAGTTTAACGCGTCGTACAACTACCTGTTTGGCACACTGCCGTCTGACACCAGCGCCAGTCACACTCTTGGACGCGCATCGGCCAAGTCGGCAGCTGCAGTCACTGCTACGCCATCTCGCCAGAGTGAAAAATATACGGGGATGCTCAGCCCAGTTAGTGCTCAGACCGTGGCCAATGCCCCCGAGGAAAGCGCCGAAGAAGAGGAAGAGGAGGAGGAAGAGGAAGCCGTCAGCCTAAAATCGTCAAGCCCCAGCGAGGACAGCGAATTATTGCGTGAGCTTGAGGAGGAGCGCCGCAAGGAAGAGGAACGCAAGGCGGCCGAACAGCGCAACCGCCGTCGCGAGCTCATCAAGCAGCAGGTGGCCTTTGAGCGCATGAAGGAACGTCATCGCCGCCAACAGCAGCAGCAGCCGGTCAACGCGCATAATAGCGTGGCTCGCTGGCAAAAGGAGTCTGCCAGCGCAGTTGTACCGCAGGCAATGTACCAAAGCAATGGAGCCATTAACCGTGGGCATTCGCAGGTCTTGGCCCCGCACCATGCTTCCAATATTGCTTATATAGCTGAGGCAAATCATGCCACTTTGCCCAGGCACAGGCACCAGGGATTTCCCCTGGTAGACACTGTCGGCGAAAAACACTCTGCGCCATTTTCGGGGTACGCGCTGCCTGTTCCGTCGGCTCATCCGGTGAAACTGGCCAGCAAGCCGCAAAGCACCAAGAACCCGTACCTTAGCGATAGCAGCAACGACGACATTGATGACGGCAGCAGCAGCGACGACTTGACCAGCATTGGCAGCTCGGACATTTCTTGCGATCCGCCTCTAGAGCCGCACGAGCCAGGCACTGTACCACTGAGCATTAACGGTGGCAGTGACATGGGTCCGCGTAGCGTCTCGCAGCCGATTTTGCCATCTGGCGCAAGCGATGCCTCTAGCGACACATCGGCCAAGAGCCAGTCGTCGTCGACTCGCCGAGTTCGGTTCCACGAGACTGTGTCTGTGGTCTTTAACACAAGGCACACTGTAGCTGGCGAGGACCTGGAGCAGGATGCTCACGAGTCGGACAGCGACAGCAGCAACGCCTCGATTGACTTTAATGCCACCAACACTAGCGGTGCCAATAGCGGCTCGTGCTTGGCCGGCAGCTCGCCTGACGAAGCCTTTGACAACAGCAACGTGTACAGCCACTCTAGATACCAAATCCCACCGACGCTTATCCCCACCCAAAGCAACTCTGCGCAGTGGTACGACGAAGAGTCGACAACCGTAGCCAACAGCAAGAATACAAGCGGTCACTCGAGCAGAAACATCTCGCCCGACGGCTCCAAGCAGCAGAGCCGTCAGACCAAGCACCGCATTGAGACTCAGCCCTTGCGCGACCGTGAAGCTGAGCGCGAGCTGCGTAAGCAAGCGCAAAACAGCAGACGTGCCTTGCAGCCTCGGGTCACGGCTCCGCCTTCCAATGACCCTCGGCCAGCTCCAGTATCTGCACCGCCAGCTCTGGCCCCCGTTGCTGAAGCCGCTTCTGATAGCATCAAGCCGCCGGTGGACCGCATGGCCGAGGCACGTCGCGCGCTCCTGGGCCACTACAACGTCCCCAACCCAGAGCTGCCAGTCGGAAGAAGTATCCCGCGCAGTGGCAGCGCATCCACCGCCTCGTTTGTGCGGACATCGAGCGTCAAGGTTCTACAGCCGCCCTCGTTTGCTCGCCCAAAGCAGCGCCCAGCAGCGAGCAACCCGCAGCTAAATGTTGGATTAGTCTCTGAGCACAAGCCAGTGTCGATAACAGTCAAAAAAGGAGGTGACAGTACGCCAGCAATGGCCAAGCATGACGATAGTGATGGCGATGATGTTCCTCTCTCGACTTTTGCGCGCTCAAGGTCTGAGCCCATGCCCAGTCTGCCCCGTCGCTCGACCGACGACTACCTTTCCCGTCTGGCGACGTTTACTAGCAACTACGACTCTGACAACAACGAGAAGGGGGCAGCCAAGGGCGCCAACTCTCGTCGCTTTTTTGGTCGCAACCAGACCGACCTTGCTGGAAACCCTATCAGCCACAATGGTGCGCAGCCGTTGGCTCCGGCCCCAAAGGTCGAGGAGCATGTAGCCAAGTTTGAGCAGATGCGCTCAAAGTCTATGGATGTCACACCACGTCAGTCTACTGAAAAACGGCGGTTTGGCCGCTGGGGAAACTTTTTCTAAACCGTTGAAAATGCATAATTTATTCAATGTTTTTTGGGCTACATAGGATTAAATGAAACAAGAAGGCTGCTTCCTCGTCAAAGTATTCTCCACAGTCGGCACATGTCGTTGGTTTCATTGGCCTTTGTAAAAAGTTGAGAGAAAAAGTACAGAGCGATCAATGAAAAGCAGTTATTGTCGCTCACCTTTTATAGCCGACAGTGGCGACCATGATTCGCAATTCAAAATTGGGAACAATACGAACTACCGCATTGTATAAACATGTCAAATTCCCAGCTCACGGGATATCTGCAGAAACTGCAGGCAAAAAAAGCTATGACCAGAGTGGGATTCGAACCCACGCCTCCGGAGAGAACGCGGCCTAAACGCGTCGCCTTAGACCAACTCGGCCATCTGACCACTGTGTTTTTTGAAGCTAATTTCCCTCATTCCAATAGTAGAAATTTGGCATGTATATATACCATTACATTGCCATTTTTTAAGCGCGTTTCTGCCCATTGTTTTAGGGGGTTGGAGGTATTAGCTTGCTGGGGCGGGAGAGCCTCCAATTCCTCTGCGCGGTCTACGACTTTGCAGATTGT